AATCCTGATGAAGAAAGCTGCCTGCCTTGTAGCATTGTCTTGAAAGATTTTGGGCAGGAGTTCATAGCTCCTTGCTCTGCATCCTCTAAAGGAGAGCTGGGCTGCCTCCCTGCTCCTGCCTCTACTGCTTGAAGGAACAGGGAACAGCCTGTCATGGCTGAACTGTGTGTGCTGGCACCAGCAACTCTCCAGCTGCCTGAGGAGCCCAGCGTGGTGCAGGAGAAAGTCTCATCCTGCTTCCCCATCCCTGTCACCTCTGAGGGCTCCTCAATCTCTAAGCACACACAATGATGATGCTGGAAAGTGTGAGGCTGGAGGCAGAATGGCACACCCTGTTAATGTCAGTGAAGGGAGAACTTGGAGGTGCCTGGGGAGGGCTTGAGAGGAGCTGGGAATGTTGGTTGAAATGGGAATTATGTGGGACTGTAGAGACAGCTGAGATCTCCTGAGGTGACTGCAGGAGGATGAGAAGAGAGAGGCAGAGGGAGATGGACTGAAGGCAAGAGAAATATAGAAAAGGGCCTGAAGGTTTCTCTCTCTTCCTTTTCCCTTTAAAAATTAAATAGCTTCTTCAGGAAACACTTGCAAAACCAGAAACACAAGCAGATTTTTTTCTTAGTCTTCTCCCTTCATTCACTGGCATTTCCCCCATGGTGCTGATAAGGCTTTTGAGGATTTCCTGGGGAGAAGGAAGAAGATGAGGAACAGGGGTGCCTTGGAGAAGGGACCACACTTACCGAGGAGCTGGCCCAGGCAGACGGTGAGGATGAGATTTGCGAGGTGCATGGCGAGAGCGAGCTGCGTGTTTGCTGAGTGGGGCAGAGGCAGAAAGCGCGTCCCAGCCCCGAGAGAACAGAGCTGCCGGAAACGACTCTGGGCGGCAGCAAAGGAAGCAGTGGCGGGAGCAGGCAGAGCAGTGACCTGTCCCTGCAGTGCCTGCAATGCTCCGTGTGCGTTTCTGGCTTCTCCAGCAGCAGCCCCCGAGGCTCCCTCAGCCATTGGCACTGTGAGCATCCCGTGCCCCTGGGGCCTCAGTGATGGGAAGGGGCTGATCCCGCTCAGCTCGCAGTGGAGTCCTCACCATGCAAGAGTAGTTTAACAGGATTTGGTGCCAGGGTTCACTTGTTCATTTCTTGAAGAGATTACAGATGAAATTGTCAGGGAGATCCATTGAGTCCCAAGGAACTGAAGGGACTGCCTTGCACTCTGAACACCTGCCCAGTGGGAAGCTTAGGTGTGACTGCATGCAGATACAGTCTCAGACTCTGTGAGCAGTTTCTTTTGAAAGAGCATTCTAAGCATAATGGATTCGATATATGATCTAGGTGAAGTTTCAGTGCAGCATGTTATTCTGGGCTCCACATATGAGTGACCTTGAGCTGTCACTTGGCCTTTTCAAAAGGCAAAACCAGCCCAGCAGGCATGGGAAGAGAAGGACAAAGGCAAGAGGAGAAGAGGCCTGATATGGGCTGGGTGGGAATGTGTGTCCTCACTGATGCATTTCTAAGAGAACCTTTGCCCCACCTTTGCAGACAGGCTAGAGGTTGCCCCGTTCCCCAGAAGGTACAGAGCCCTGTCTGAAGGAGCAAAAGGCGGTTTGGGAAAGACCCTGCTGCCCGCCCTGCCTCACATAGACCATCACAGTGTGCACATGTAGCTGTGGCCGGGTGGGGCTGTTTGATGGCTTGAGCAGCTAAGCCGGACGCAGCCCGGGCTGAGGAGAGGGGCTGAGCACGGTCGGTGGCTGAAAGCCGGAGCTGGTGCCGGTGTGGGCGCTGTTGTCGGCGCCAGTACCGGTATCGCTACCGGTGCCTGTGTCCGTGGCGGCGCCGGTTCTGGGGCCGATGTCCATTGTCGGTGCCGGTGTCGGTCCCGGTGCCGCAGCCCGGGCCGAGCGGGAGCGGCAGCGCCCCCTGCTGGCCCCGCCCGGCCCCGCCCGCGGCGGTTCGTGCCCGGCCGCAGCCCCGGCTCCTCTGCCCGTGGCCCCAGCGCGCAGTAATACACGGCCGCGTCCCCGCGCCGGGGCCGCCCGAGCCACAGCGCGCTCCCACGCCGATCTGCCGACACCCACAGCTGTCCTGCAATGGCCGGCACCTCTTTGGTGTCTTTCACAATGACTGCGAGGAATTCAGGTCCTCTGCCAGGGAGCTGACGGTACCACTGGATCCAATCGCTGCTCTGGATTTTGGGATGTGAGCAGGTGATGTTGATGCCGATGCCCTCGGTGGTCTCCAGGAACGGCTCCTGCTGCACCTGGGCTCTGGCCATAGTCACTGCCACGGAAAAAAGAACAATCACTTTTCCGACCCAACCCTGTTAAATAAATCCCTTTCAGTCGGAGATGGGAGAGGATTAGAGAGTAGCTCAAACTGAGATGTGTTCTGATAATAAACAGTATGGAGAGATTATTTCTCTGAGAGGGTTTCGCTGGGGACAAGAATCTCTGATGGATATTTTGAAGGACAATTGTAATTTTTAAGTGGAGAAAGGAATGAGGAAAATAGATTTGCCCGGATGGATGGATGGAGAAATGGAGTAACAGAGGCAAACTCCCCGGGAAGGATTTCGCTGAGGAAAAATAAACCCTATGGCGTCGGAGGAAGGGACAGAGAGCAAACAAGCATTGAGAATGAGAAGGAGGGTAAGAGATGTGTATTAGGGCGAGCGGGGTCTCACACAGCCTCTCAGCCACCCATACTGCTGCCTTCCCCACGCACCGATGATCAGCGCGGCCAGCGCCGCGCCCCGAGCCCGCCGCAGAGAGCAAACAAGCATTGAGAATGAGAAGGAGGGTAAGAGATGTGTATTAGGGCGAGCGGGGTCTCACACAGCCTCTCAGCCACCCATACTGCTGCCTTCCCCACGCACCGATGATCAGCGCGGCCAGCGCCGCGCCCCGAGCCCGCCGCATGCCCTGGACAAATGTCCTCCAGGCTGCTTCATCATTGTTCAACTGCTCTCAGGATCCTTCTGAGTGTGGGCAAATGCTGCTCCGTGATGATCACAGCAGAGCAGTGGAGAGTGTCTCCAGGGAGATCAACACATTTAACTTGCTGAGTGACACAATAGGACACACAGACACACAGACACACACACACATACACACACACAAGGGCCCTGCATATCGGGGTGGATTCATGCAGGATTTTGTGCTCCCACATGGATTCCTGTGGGCCCTGCCTGAACACAAATGCACAAAAACCAGGAACACAGGCAAGACCATAATCAGCCATGGACGCTGCTGAGGAAACCAGGGAAACCCTGCAGCAGGGCTGGAGCCTTGTGAGGAAGAACAAGGAGTCAGGCAAGGCCATGGCATGATTTGTGTAGTGACAGGCTGAACAGAGCGATGCACAAAGGCTTTCCTGAAGGCAATCTCAACAGGACAGGGTCAGACCCAGCAGCCCAATGGTGACACACAGGGAGGCAAAACCCTGTGAGCATCAGGGTGAGCTGAGGAGGGATGAAGGGAAGGTGTCTATGTAAGTGTATGGGAACAGATCCATGTTGGGATGTGCTTTATGTATGCACACCCCTGAATGGGAATATTCACATAGATGTGCGTGCACAGACTTGGGTGCAGGAGCAGCAACAGGAGCGAGCATGAGTGTTTGCACATCACTGGGGACATGTCACAAGGAGAAGTGTCTGTGCCTGGGTCTACATTGCAAACATGTGTACACACACATCTTCATCAATGCCGAGCTATGAGTTACTGTTTGGGTGTGTACAAGCCCCAGAGTGTGTTTGTGATACCATGTGTGTGGAGAGGGAGTTCTTTAAATACTTCCCCTTCTCAGAGTGCTGCTTTATTCCCAGAAAGGTGTCAGGGAGGCTCAGGGATGTAATGGAAGTGAGGAGAAGCAAAGCAGTTACACTGAGGGCAGGCAGGCACGGAGTGTGTCGGCTTTTTCTCTGTCATTTGCCAGAAGGTCCCTTTCCTCACCGAGCAGGGAGCCAACATCTCCTGAGCCTTCCTTTGGCTGCCAATGCAATGGGATCAGAAATTCCTTTCCTGATTGCCTGGACCGCTGCTGAAATGTTCCATCCCGGCAGAAGTGGTTTGTGTGCCGTGCAGGGCAGCATCCTTGTGCCCGGAGGGGTCTCTGGCAGCAGGCCGGGCCGTGTGGCGGGCCCGTGGTTGCTCCCGGTCGGGATGCCGGGGGTTGCAGGCGCGGCTCGGTGCCGGCCCCGGCGAGCGGCGTCAAGCGGGAGCGGCAGCGCCCCCTGCTGGCCCCGCCCGGCCCCGCCCGCGGCGGTTCGTGCCCGGCCGCAGCCCCGGCTCCTCTGCCCGTGGCCCCAGCGCGCAGTAATACACGGCCGCGTCCCCGCGCCGGGGCCGCCCGAGCCACAGCGCGCTCCAACGCCCGTCCTGCGAAACCCACAGCTGTCCTGCAATGGCCGGCACTTCCTTGGATCCTCTAGCAGCGAGTGCAAGGAATTCTGGAGCTCCTCCCGGGAGCTGACGGTAGAAATGGATCCAGTCGCCGCTCAATTTTGTGGAGTGTGAGCAGGTGATGTTGATGCCGGTGCCCTCGGTGGTCTCCAGGAATGGCTCCTGTTGTACCTGGGCTCTGCTTGAAGCCACTGCCAGGGAAAGAAAATGGATAAACTTTAAATTCTGCACTGCCCCACTGCACAGATCAAATTTCGCACAAACAGTCAGGAACGTACAGAGATGGTGAGAAAACCAGTACCGAGGAGATTTCAAGCTATGTAGATATGCAAGTGTCCATTAATCGCTTGTGGAGAGATGAATGTGTGAATGACAGGAAGAACCATGCAATCTCTGGAGAACTGGAGGATGTGGGATAAAGTGGAGAAAAGAAAAGATGAGAAGTTAGAAAGTGAAAGGACTTGCTTTGCAAATAATAAAAATGAAAGGAACGGAATACTTGTGCAGGGTTGGACACAGAATAAAATCAAGAGATTTATGCAGGAGTATGGGATGGAGAAGAGGGAGGGATGAATGGGAGAACTCTCGAGAAAAGATGTGTGAAGAAGCCACGAAGGACAGCAGACTCCGGGGACCTGCGGGATCACCCCAACAACCTCACTGATGCATTTCTAAGAGAACCTTGGGCCCAGCTTTGTAGACAAGCCAGAGGATGCCCCGTTGCCCAGAATGCACAGAGCCCTTTCTGAAGGAGCGAGAGGTGGCTTGGGAAAGACCCTGCTGCCCTCCCTGCCTCACACAGACCATCTCAGTGTGCACATGTAGCTGCGGCCGGGCGGGGCAGTTTGACGGCGTAAGTAGTTCAGCTGGACTCAGCCCGGGCTGAGGAGAGGGGCTGAGCACGATCGGGGACTCCAAGTCGAAGCTGGAGCCGGTGTGGGTGTTGGTGTCAGTGTCGCTACCGGTGCCTATGTGCTGCTGTCGGTCCCGGTCCGGGTTCCACTGCCGGTGCCGGTGTCGGTCCCGGTGCCGCAACCCGGCCCGAGCGGGGCGAGGCGGCCCCGGCGGGCGGAGCGGCAGCGCCCCCTGCTGGCCCCGCCCGGCCCCGCCCGCGGCGGTTCGTGCCCGGCCGCAGCCCCGGCTCCTCTGCCCGTGGCCCCAGCGCGCAGTAATACACGGCCGCGTCCCCGCGCCGGGGCCGCCCGAGCCACAGCGCGCTCCCACGCCGATCTGCCGACACCCACACACGGCCCGCACTGTCCGGCAGCTCTTTGGAGCCCTTGTGAATGCTCACGAGGTATTCGGGTCCCCGGCCAGGCAATTGTCGGTACCAGAAGATTGTTTGGCTGCTCTGGATTTCGGGGTGTGAGCAGGTGATGTTGATGCCGGTGCCCTCGGTGGTCTCCAGGAATGGCTCCTGCTGTACCTGAGCTCTGACCACAGCCACTGCCACGGAGAAAAGAACAATCACTTTTCTAAAACAGAAAACGCCGTTCAGAGGGAGATGGTAGAGGACGACAGATCAGGGTGAAGTTGGGTATCTTTTCAGAATACAGTATAGAGTCATTATTTTTCTGAGAGTGTTTGGTAGGAGATAAGAATATTTGATGGATGTTTTGAAGGTAAATCAGAAAGAAATGTCATAAAGAGAGCGGCTGAAAATGAAGGATGGATGGACGGATGGATGGATGGATGGATGGATGGATGGATGGATGGATGGATTGATGGATGGATGAAGATAAGGAGGAAAAAAGGAAACTGCGAAGCAACGACTTCATGGAGAGGAAAAAATTATGTGGGCAGTGGAGTGAATAGAGGAGAAAAGAAATAGGAGAGCAAGAGGTCTTCAGTTGGAGTCGGTGTCAAATAGCCCTCTGACCCAGATGCCCCTCCGACGCCACCCCTTCTCACCGATGACCAGCGCGGCCAGCGCCGGCAGCGCCGCGCCCCGAGCCCGCCGCATGCCGCCGCTCCGCCGGCCGAGCCTCGCTGTGCCGCTGAGCCCCGGCTCTGCTGCGGCCGTGCCGCCTCCTCTCCGCCGCCGCCAGCTCCGCCCCGGGGCTGAGCCCTGCGCCGCTGCCGCTCGGGCTCTCGCCGAGTCCTGGCGGGGAACGGAGCGGAGGCGAGCGCGGGGGCTGCGGGGCGGCGCTCGGCTCTCTGCACGTCGGGAGCGCCGGGGCCGGCCTGGGGGGCAGGGCATCGGCCTGGCATCGTGGAGCTCACCATTGACACTGCCTGGGATTTCTTCGCTCCCATCATCTGTTCCCTCCCATCCTCCCTTTGCTGTCATGTCAGGACTCCCGAATTGTCCTTCAGGGCACTGGAAGGAAACCCACACACACGGATAGAGGAGCTGGGCATAAAGCCTCAGCCTTTCTCTGTGTCCATGAAACCAATGTGATGCAGTTCAGGGGAGAGCAGCTGTTCACTGGCCTGGAGAGACCTGTTTGTATGTCCGTGTGTCCATGTGTCTGTGTGTATGTGTGTCCCTCTGACTGTGTGTTCATGTGTCCATGTGTGTGTGTGAGCACTCTCAGCCATGGTGAGCCACTCCCAATATTTCAAACAGAATTAAGCTAAAAATCCAAACTTGGGTGAAACCATCCTTGTTGGGGCTGGCAGCTGGCAGTAGCAGAGTGTGATGTTTAGAGCAGTGGGAGAAGGGGGGCTCAGGGAGCAGGGACTGCATTTCAGCGCCTCTTCCCTGGACAAATCTCCTGCACGCTGCTGCATCATTGTTCAGCTGCTCCAAGGATCCTTCTGAGTCTGGGCAAATGGTGCTCCGTGATGATCACAGCAGAGCAGTGGAGAGGGTCTCCACTGAGATCAACACATTTCACTGGTTGAGTAACACAATAGGACACAGACACGCACGGACACATGGACACACACAGACACACACACAGGCTCCTGAACATCGGGGGAGATTCATGCAAGAATTTGTGCTCCCACATGGATTCCTTGAACACAAGCACACACTAACCAGGGGCCCAGGTAAGGACACAATCAGCCATGGACGCTGCTGAGGAAACCTGAGAAACCCTGCAGCAGGGCTGGAGCCTTGTGAGGAAGGACAAGGAGTCAGGCAAGGCCCTGGTATGGTTTGTGTAACCACAGGCTGAACAGAGGGTAAGATGTCCAGACAGTCACGGCTGCTTTCTGAAGGCAATTTTAACAGGACAGGATTGGAACCAGCAGCCCAATGGTGACACACAGGGAGACAAAACCCGGTGGCCATCCGGGTGAGCTGAGGAGGGAAGTAGGGAAGGTGTATATCTAAGTGTGTGGGAATAGATCCATGCTGGGATGTGCTTTATGTGTTCCCATCTCTGCATGGAGAATATTCACATAGATGTACATGCGCAGGCTTGGGTGCAGGAGCAGGCATAGGAGTGAGTGTGAGTGTTTGAACATCATTGCGGACATGGCAGAAGGAGAAGTGTTTGTGCCTGGGTCTCCTTTGGAAATGTGTGTGCACACACCTCTTCATCAATGCAGAGATGTGAGTTACTGTTTGGGTGTGTGCAAGCTCCAGAGTGTGTTTGTGGTACTGTGAACTCATGTATGTGAACTAGGAGTTCTTTAACTACTTCTCCTATTCACGGTGCTGCATTATTCCCAGAAACAATTCAGGGAGGCTCAGGGATGTAATGGAAGTGAGGAGAAGCAAAGCAGTTACACTGAGGGCAAGCAGGCACGGAGTGTGTTGGCTTTTTCTCTGTCATTTGCCAGCAAGCCCATTTCCCCACCGAGCAACGAGCCAACATCTCCTGAGCCTTCCTTTGGCTGCCAATGCAATGGGATCTGAAATTCCTTTCCTGATTGCCTTGACGGCTGCTGATATGTTCTGTTCCAGCAGAATTGGTTTGAGCGCCGTGCAGGGCAGCATCCTTGTGCCCGGAGGGGCAAGCACAGGGCATATTTTTCTTTACTTACTGACTGCACACTGTGGAAATGAGTCAAAATAGCGCAAAACACATTCCCAAGGAAAGTGCTCAAATGAATGTGGTCAAAACCATCCGACCATTGTACACACACAGAGATGGAATTTCTGCTGAGCATCATGG